ATTATGGCTTCTGTCCATGAATTTGGTATCTTGGCTTTCTCCATAGCTTCATTATATAATCGCAACATATTCTCTCCCAATACTTCTTGCATTGTTTTATATATTTCTACCGGTAGCCCGTCAGGACCCGGTGTTTTATTGTTTTTTTGCTTTTTCAGTACTTCGTCTAGTTCTAATTTGGTTATTGGCCTATTGAGAGTAATTCTTTGTTCTTCTGTGATTTTTGGCATTCCTGATTTCTCTATGTACTGTTTTATTTTATCTTCCTCTATTTTCCCCTGATTATATAGATTCGCATAAAATTTCTTAATAATATCTTTTTTGGCCTCTTTACTATGTTGAATTTCTCCTTTATCATCTTTCAATTGGTATATCATTCTTTTTTTCTGTTCTTTTTTCAGTTTATAGGCTAGCCATCTGCCCGTTTTATTTGCGTGCTCAAAATAGTTTTGTTTCGCCATTTTTATTTTTTGGGCTAGTTCTATTTGGTTTATCAAATTCAATTTATGCTTAATCATTTCCCATTCTTCTCTTATTGTTTTGTTCTGGGGCTTTTCCTGGAGTTTTTGTTCTATTTGTTTTAGGTCTTTCTCTAATTTATCTAATTGTTTTTTCTTCTCTTTATTCTTTTTCCTCGTATATGCTATTACTAGGCCCCTTATATATGCTTTTAAAGTATCCCATGTGTTTTGTAAAGAGGTTTCCTCTATTTTATTTATCTGAAAGAATATTTTTACTTCCTTTTCTAACATCAAATTAAATTCTTTTTCTTTACATAATCTTTGGTTCATTGTCCATCTCTTACGTCTTCTTTCCCCTTTCCAGTTTATGAATAGTGGATTGTGGTCTGCCCATTGGTTTGTGCCTATCTCAATTTTTTCTACTTCTGTTTTGATACTTGGGGTCATCCATGCCATGTCCAATCTTGACCAGGAGTTATGCGGATGGGAGTAAAAGGTGTATTGGGCCTCTTCTTCATGTGTTTCCCTCCATACGTCTGCCAAGTTTAGTTCTTCAGCCATAGTAAAGAATTCTTTTGGAAGTATTTCTTTTTTCTTTTGTTTTTTTTCCCCAGTTTTGTAGTCTTTCTTTGCATTTACTATTGCATTATAATCCCCTATTACACAAATATCATCATATTCTAATTCTGCTAATTTTATATGTAGGTCTTTAAAAAAAACCTGTAGTTTTTGGTTAGGTGCATAAATCCCTACAATTAACATTTTCCTTTTTCCTATTTCTAATTCAACCATCACCACTCTACCTTGCTCATCGGTATAAACTAGTTTAGATTGTATTTTTTCTTTTACGTAAATCACTACTCCTTTTTTCTTTTTTGGGGCCAGAGATAAATATAATTTTCCTAATTTGGGGTTTTCTAGGATTTTTTGATAATCTTTTTGAATGTGTACTTCTTGCAGACATATTACATCTGCTTCTAATTTTCGTAATTTTGTGAAAATTTGATTCCTTTTCTTTGGGGCATTTAAGCCATTAATGTTTACCGAAAAGAGTTTGATCTGTTCATCCATTGCCTATTATATCTGTTTTTTGGTGTTTCTTGTTTCCATCCGTTCTCTAGGTTTTGCACCTTCTCTCTGTTCTCTCTCTTTTTCTTGCCTCTGTCTTATTTCTTTTTCTTCCTTTGTTTCTATTGGTTCTTCTTCTTGACTTTTACTATCTGTTTCCTCCTTACTTTCCTGTTCTACTTCTAGTCTAAAATGTGTGTTATGAAATTCTCTTGCCTTTTCTAGAGTATCTATTTTATATCTTTTGTCTTCCCACGTAATTAAGATCCCCTCTATTGGCAACCATCTATACATTATCTTGTATTTGATCAGTAGTTGTGTTAAAAACTGATATTGTTGTCGTAGATTTCTTACTCTTCGGGGTATCTGTTTTAAGATTATAATTTCTTTTCCATTATAGATCACCGTTTCTTCTCTAGATTTCTTATAGGCTTCATCTCGGATTGATTTTTTAAAAAATTTAACATGGACTTCTCTCGCCAATCTGTGTCTTCTTATATAATTTGTTTGTACACGATAAGTTTCTTCCAATTGTCCTTTTATTTCTTCTGGCTCTTTTTGTATCATTCCTGCAATAATCTCCACCATCTTTCCTTCTAAGTCCTCATTTTTTTCTTCTGGGACATTTTGAAAACGCAAGAAGTATGAGGCCTTTTCCATTTCGAGCATGGCCAAGGAATCTGACATTTCTTTGTTTAGTTGTAGGGTTTTTTGTTCCATTGCTTCTACTTTTAATTCCACGTGATCTATTTTTGTTTCCGTTTTCCTAATTCTCTGTTCATTTTCTGCTATAGAATTTTGAATGCCCCCAATTTTATCTTTCATGGTCTTAATATCTTCCTTAACTTCTCCTAATTCATTTCTGATCTCTGCATGGAACGTTCTCATTTCTTCCTGATTTTCAGCTATTTTTTCTTGTGTTTGAAGCAGTGTTTCCTGGATCTTTTGAAACATATCTTGTATTACATTAGGTGCCATTTCCAGTTTTTCTTTTTCTTTTTCTTTCCCCATCATGCTATCTATTGTTTTTTGTTGTGAGGGGGAAGGAGTCATTACTAACGTACTAGTTGTAGGTTTTTTCCCTGTCTTTGTTATGGTGGATGTTGTAGACATTTTTAATATTCGTGTAAAGCTTTCCAACCTTAACATCAATTATTAAGTTATTCCTTAATATCTCTTTTCCCCTCCAAATACTACTTATACACCACACAACTTATATATAGTTATATTATATTATATTGCCAGTTATCCCAATTAAGCAATTAATTCTTGTTCACAGTATAAATCTATTTACTTATCAATCAGGATTTTAATTTAATTTTCTTAATTTTCTAATTAGCAATCTTTTCAGTTACCCCCTTTTTTCAATCAGTCTATCTCAGAGATATATAAAAATCAGTCTTTCGCTTTAACAATAATTCCTTATCTAACTACAATTCCACAATACAATTTATAGCTATAAAAATATTGTCAACTTATATATTTCTTTCAAATATTAAACTTATTAACTAATTAAACAGTTCAAAATTAATAATTCACTTAATTTTTATTTTCTTTAGTCCTTATTGTCTTCTTGCTTTACCTCTCTCAGTCTGTTCTTTCACAATCATGAAAAACGCAATCTGTGTCGTCTCAGTCTTTTTTCTTTTTTTTTTTTAATTTCTTCTCCCAGTCATCGGATCTCTGCATTCAATTTTCAAATCTTTTTTTTTTTAAACTTGAGTTCTTATTATCCAAAGTTATTTGTAAATCCAGAGTTCGAAATCCCGACAGATCTTCTGTATCCGTGAAATTCACCACTTAGTCCGGTATTTCAGTCTCTGTATTCGGTTTCCAATGTTTGGGGTTTGAATCAGTTATAATTCCCAAGATCAAACAGCTTGTCTCTATATCCACAAAGTCCACAGGCTGCTCCCTTTGATCAGCTGTAAAGGTCCGCAGTCAGACCGCTTCGAGCGCTATTTCTCCTTTTCTTATATTTGCTTAGTCATTCTATGGGATTCTCTCTTCCGCGCTATAATTATTCCCCCTTTTTTCCTTCTGCTCTTGTATCGCCGCTGTTGTAACTCACTTGTCTTTCTCTGATTCGCTCGCGCGTCCCATTTGCCGTCTCTGTTGTAGGTGATCTATCTGACAGTCACTCGGATTTGCTTCCACTTTTTGCTTCGATCTAGGTGGGCGCCATCCCTCCTGTCCGCCGATAAGGCCGACTTCTTCTCCACCAATTTAAGAGGTTGATCGCTCGACCTCCCTGATGACAGCGCAACACCAGGGGGCTTCGCGAATTCCTCTTTGGCTTAAAATTAAAAAACAACATTATATGAAGATACCAAATTGGCTAGCACCGGCGGAATCAATTAGACACCCAAATTTAACAGATAAGACAAAAATAATTAGATATAAAGATATAATTGACTATCAAGGCAAACTAAAGACAAAACAACAATTGGAGACAGATTTACACAGAGGAATAGACTGGTGGACTTACACTCAAATACAATCTAAATATAGAGAGCATATAAAAACATATGAAATTTATAATCAAAAACAAGAAATAGATAAAATTATATTAGATTCAGAAAATAAATTAATTAGTAGAATTTATAAATTTCTCCTACGCTATAAATTGGAAGAAGAGACAGTCAAAGAAACGATGATTAAGTGGGCTCAAAATATCAAACACACAATACCTTTGGAAAAATGGGAAAAGTTCTGGCAGGAAAACCTAAAGTTAACGAAAGCAACGGCGTACAAGGAAAACCAACTGAAAATGTTTTATCGGTGGCATATGTCTCCAACCAGATTGGCAAAAATACAACCTAAAAATAGCCCAATTTGTTGGAAGTGCAAAAAGGCACAAGGGACTTTCTATCATTTATGGTGGACATGCCCGGCAGCAAAGAAATTTTGGTCTAACATCAAAAAATGGTTGGAACAAATAACAAAAACACAGATTGAAAAAGAACCAGAAACATTTTTATTAGGAATATTTAACAAATCATACCCTAAGGATATTAAATATCTTACAATTCACATATTAACTGCTGCAAGAATAATCTACGCAAGAAATTGGAAACAAGAAAAAATACCAAGTGAAACAGAAGTAATAGGGAAAATTTTAGAATGCGCTGAAATGGATAGGTTAACCAAAGAATTACAAGAAAAAGAAGAATCAGACTATTATAAAATATGGAATAGTTGGTATAATTGGTTAAAAATTAGAAATACACAAAAAATATAGGGGATATATTACCGATTGATACATATATATGTAATAAAAATATTATTAGATTACAGAAAGGTGAAGGAATATATTATAAGTAGAATTGTAGAACGTCACTCTGAAAAAATGCTTAAGAAGAAATTATATTCTTTTTGTGTATATGTTGTATAAATGTTCGTTGTGTATATGTTACGTATGTCTTTTTTAATATTTATATTCAATAAAAATTATTTAAAAAAAAAAAAGAATCCAGTGCTATAGTTTATTGACAATAAATGCAATAAATTTGTCCAACATCTGTTTAAATAAAAATGGCCATCCTGACATCTGATTCATCTGTGCATTGCTTTAGCCTTCCATTTTGATTCTTGAGGAAAGAAGCAATTATATAACATTACAGATGTTGACTGCCATCTCTGTTCTGAACATTTTTCAACTACGCATTTGCTACAAGTGTTCACATAGCTACTGTGCATGTGCAGACATACAGACACATACATACCATTGGAACAAGTGATATTCTGCCAATGTCACCTTCATGCAAGCTTGCAAAAGCAAAAGCCAGTCCAAGTGTCCTGTTGAACTTTTCCGAGAAGTAGCCACAGGCACTAATAATTCTTCGGTCTTTGGTGGTTGAGGAATGTCCTTGCGCTTTAATTGGATGCTTTGCAGGAGAGAGCAGGAGGGAGAGGCAACAAGGCATTGATGTCTTCTATTCCTTTGTCCTTGTCCATCCCAGATCGCTTCCTAGGCTCAGGACTCTCCTCTGACCACCTCCCTACTCTGTGCACTCCCTTAGCTACCTTGGGTGCATTTCTACAGGGGTTGTGGTCATAGATCACCAATTTCAAACCATTCAGGTGGATGAGACTGGGAAAATCATGGATGGCATTGCAGTCCACATCAATCACTTCCAGGAAAGGCATGTGCAAAAGCACTGGTGGGAAATCGGCCAGTAAGTTGCTGGAGAGCCAGATAGTACGCAGTTCCTTCAGATACTGTAGCTGTTCAGGCAGAGAGCGCAGGGCATTGGATCCAGCATGCAATGTCTTGAGTTGCTTCAGTTCACACACCACATTGGGCAGGTGGTATAGGCAGTTGGATTCAATCCATAAAGTCTTGAGGTTTTGGAGCTGATGCATCTCCGCAGGTAGGTCTCCCAGTTTATTATTGCCCAGATAAAGGATAAACAGCTGTTTCAAGGTGCACACCACTTGGGGTAGTGTGTGGAAGTTGTTGAAATCCAGTGCCAGGATCTGAAGGTTCTGTAACTGTTCTAACTCAGGGGGCAGATGATTCAGGTTGTTGTTGCTCAAGTACAGCTTGACCAGCTCCCTGAAAGAGCAAACACACACAGGAAACCGTCTCACTTGCCTGCCACTCAGATCCAACATTTTATCAATTGGCATCTCTTCAAGGTCACCCAGGATGTATTTCTGGCACTCATCAAATGGGAGAAAGGCTATAATTGCTCTTAATGTGTTGCCCATTCTTAAAAGCTGCAATGGCTTTTAGAGTCAGATGAATATTCCTTGTAGATGTAGAAACTCTCTGGGTTTTACTCTGCTCTTCTGGCATTTCCTCTTCCCAGTAAAATAGAGGCATGGTCTACATGGCAACAATCATGATTTTCAAGAGCCTTGAAATATTTCTGATAAGTGAATGAGTGTCTGCTGATGAGAACTACAGACATTCCCATGGAGCAGCTCTAATAGAAAAGGGCAGTAAAACTATCTCAGGGAAGTTCTCGTTGATCTCAAATGTTTTTGGAAATGCTTCTGAGTTTCCTCTTTAGGATATTTCATTTTTGAGATTTGCGTCCCATGACTTAATAACCACTAATGTGATCAATACTTTCAGCAATTTATCCATTCATATGTATGGGTTCAGACATGAATTAAGTCATGATATGGTTTCCTGATTTTGGTTTAGCAAGTGGTATGAATCTGTGTTTATGGTGGGGTGAACAAGATGAACAAGGCATTGAATATCAGCCTCAGTAGCTGAAAAATTATGCCAGTGTATGGACTTAATTTCCCCTCCATTTCATATTATCCTAATTCAGATCTGGGTCCCCACTTTTTTACTTCAAAAGTAGTAAGCATGGAATGAGAAATGTTTTAAAGCATTATCTGATATGAAGTGCAATGAATTAGTGCAGCTTGCATAGCACAGTTAGTCACATTCTCTAGTCAGAATGTGGCTTTTTGTTACAAAACACAAACAAATTGTCATATTTATTAAATAATTTAATAATTATGACAATTTGTTTGTGTTTTATTACATTTCTTTAGTATTTTTTGAGATGTACCAAAATTTAGTTGGGAAGGTCTGGCTTACCATTTAACCATTAATCTGTTTTATCAACATAGATCATTATGACCTTAAGCTATTACATCTTGTGACCATTGACATAGCCAAAGTTTCAGCAGAGAGATAATGAAATAAAACATTGCAGATAATGAGTTTTGAAAAGACTTTGGTGTGTGGGGAGAGGGTGGGAACAGATTAATATATTTTTTCTACCTCTAAAAGATGGACTCTTTTAGGAAAAAAAGCTTTTAGGGCTCAATGTATGGTTTTCCTTTTGCCAATATTTTATCCTCCAGAAGGCTGAGAAGATTACTGGACCAATGTTAGTGGCTGAATATGGTTTGAACCCTGCTTTCCTCAATTTTAGTACACTCTGGCCATGAGATTACACTGATTCTGTAGTAAGACAATGTCAAATTAGTTTCCTTTCTTGAGTCATTTTGAGAGCCAGTTTGGGGTAGTGATTAAGTCATCAGGCTAGAAATGAGGAGACCATGAGTTCTAGTCCTGATTTATGCAAAAAGCCAGTTGGGTGACCATGAGGCAGTCAGTCTCATGGGAAACCGCTTCTGAAAAACCTTGCCAGGAAAATTGCAGGGACTTGTCTGGGCAGTTTCTGAGAATCAGACAAATTGAATAGAAGGTGGGGGGGTGGGGAATGAATAATTTAGCTGTATGATATTTCAAATACATCATAACAATTAGAACATTTAATCAGTGGAATGATTTGCCTCCAGAAGTTGTGGGTGCTCCAACCCTGGAGGTTTTTAAGAAGAGATTGGACAACCATTTGTCTGAAATGGTGTATGGTTTCTAGCCTGAGCAGGGGGTTGGACTAGACGACCTCCAAGCTCCCTTCCAACTCTGTTATTCTGTTATAATTCATAAATGCAATATATTTCTCCAGAAAATAATTCACAGATGTCCACCCTTTTAAGAACTCAATCAATAGCTGTGAAGGATGCTCCAGGAAAAAAAAAAAACTTCTTTCAGATGTCTATGGAGATTCTCAGTCATCCAGGTCATGGTTGTGCCAAAGGTGCTGTTTCAAGAGGCAACTGGGCTTTCTAGTCCAGTTGCCTCTTGAAACAGCACCTTTGGGACCTTCCTTCAGATGTTTGGTCACAAGTGATTCATACTCACTTAGTCTTGGAGAAAAAGCTTTCTGTGACCTGTATGCAATTAGGTAGCAACTATTATTAAAATAATTTGTGCTGATCAGTAAGTGTGCTGATCTTATGCAATAGAATAGAATAGAATTCTTTATTGGCCAAATGTAATTGGACACACAGGGAATTTGTTCATAAGCTCTCAATATTCATACAAATAATAAAGTGATAAGTCATAGATCATAAACCATAAGATACACTCATAAATCATAAGATACAAACAACAATTGATAAATCATAATAGTTCAGTGATCTACCAGTAGATCCCAATTTGGGTCTGCCCATCCCTAACAGGTTACAATATTTACACAAAACAACTGTGCTTTTACAGCATATTGCAGATGTCCTGCCAAACAGCTATTGACTCACCAATAGCTGATTGTGTTCCCAGTGAACCACAGTGACACATAAAAGAGCAAATGCTCCAAGAAATCAGCTACATTTTCATTTTTAATACGCTGAAGGCATGAAGGTTCTCTTAGTAATTCTGGTTTATATTCCGTTCATGACTGCTCTGATAAGGTAAGAAAGAATTTCAGAGCATTCTTATTTGTGTGTATATGCAGCAATATGAAAAAAAAAATTATCAGTTTACTTCAGAGCTTCCTTAGAAAACTTTATAATGTTTAAATAATGTCAGAAACTATTAGAGAATGATGCTACTACCGGTATAGTTTTCATTTCTGGCAAAACCAAAATGAATCACGTGAATCCAGTTAAGATGCTCTTTTTACAAGGCCAGAATATTTAAGCACTAAACCTAATTTATCTGCCATGGAAGTAGGTGATACACGTAGATATTTCCTGCTGAGTCTCTTAGATGTTATGTTAGGAATGTAACAAATCTTTATTACAAATACTAAGATTAGTAAAAAACAAAGGAAAGAGAAAAAGAGAAAAGGAAAAAAGATGGTAGTACAAAGAAGCAGCACCTGATTTTTGGGGGGGGGGTTGGTTATAAATGCATTTATATTTTACCCACTCTTTCTAAAGTTTCATCATAATTTCCTCTTTCCCCAAGCTATACTGTTTTTTCACTTTCTGAGCTAATGTTTTGGGCTGGAGGAGGGTCCATTTGGACTCAGATGGACTGCATGTCACAAGGAGTTTACTTTTTATAGATCTGTGGCCACTTTTTCTAATGGCAAGGTCTAAATGGTTCATGTCCCGTGAGTATGTCCAATTGAACCAAACAGCCTACCCATAGTGTACTTTGATAATATCGTAGTATCAGTTCACTGAGCCTCAAAGTGGGAAAAACAATGCAAATCATGACATTTGGTAAATGGCAGTGTCCACATTCAAATCTATATTTATATTGTTCAATCAGGATTCCACTAGTTCAGTTTAATTCTATCCAAACTGTACTTCGAAAAAGAGGACAACTGGAGCAATTTTGGAGGAATAATTTACCTGAAAGTTTTGCTCAGAAGTACCATCCTTGCTTTCCGTCTGATATTCTTTTGTCCATGAGAACTGCAAAGGAAAAGCTTCATAATTACATGAATGTGAGTATAGTATTTGTAGAAAACAGAATGAAAAGAACAGCCTGGGACAGCTCTGGGTCAACCAGTAGGCAAAAAAAGCATAGAGCTAAGGCACCAGGGGGAAGGGAACCCCACAGAGTTTTTCTCTTTAGCTGTTGTGCTCTGAAATCAACTTTAGCCCAATTTTTGTAACTGTCATAATCTATCATGCTCCACTTTAATCCGCATTGTATAAATATAACTTTTTTGGCATGCTGAAAGACTAAAATTTAAAAGTTTAGTTTGAAGGTGTCATCAGCTATTACATTTGCTTCCATCCCATGGAGCGAGAGTTTTCCTTCCATTGTTGGGCTGTATTGAGAGGAATGGAAACTTTTCCTGGAACAGCCCTTAATTAGCCTCTTTAATGAGACATTTTGCCAGCCCTAGACCAACATATTATGCAAAATGGGATTTACCAATCGAAGCAAGGAAAACACCAATCAGACACTTATAACACTTAAACTCACTAATATTGTTGGCACACACAATCATGTCATAATCTAGCAGATGCTAGTGATGGTTAATTCCTAAAAATAGATTGTGAACTTTGGGTTGATATGGAGAGTGGACTGATACGGAGCGGAATCCCGATAAACCTCTGACAGCAACAGTGACTGATTCTTTCTTGACATCTCAGATTCACTGGGTCACTTTTTAAAAAAAATCAACTTCAGGATTATTTTCAACCTTCACAAAAAATAAAATTGCTGGCAGAGTTCATGTAGAGCTTTGGAATGATATATCACTGGTATGCTGATGACACCCCTGGACTGGATGAAACCAAATGATCTAAGCATTTGCTTTTTGACCCCTCCCCAATAGCTTTTGGTCCCCGTGTGACAGTGACCGCAGAGAGTGTATTTGCACTGTGCCTTATCTAACCATTCCTGAGTTGCTAGACTTGGCCAAAGTTTCCAAGGCTGATTTGCAACTATAACGTACTTCATGTTGGGCAATCCTTGAGAAGTGTCTAAAGCTGTAATTGGTGTAAAATATCCAGGCAGCAAATAAGTGCAGAATTTGGAACTAAAATGATTCCATATTAAAAATCTACAGTGCTTTGGCACTTACTTTCTGGCTACCATTTAAAGTAGTAGTTTTAACATTTAAAGCCCTAGACCCGTGATGGCGAACCTATGGCACGCGTGCCACAGGTGGTACATGTAGCTATATCAGTGGGCACGCGAGCTCAGCTTCAGCATGCATGCGTGTGCTGGCCAGCTGATTTTCAGGCCTTCTTGGCCCACCAGAAGTAGGGAAACAGGCTGCCTCTGGAGAGCCTGGGGGTGGGTGGGAAAGGCCCGTTTTTCTCTCTCACCTGCCTCCAGAGCCTCTCTAGGAGTCTCTGGAGGCTGGGGACAGCAAAAAAGTCACTTCCTGACCAACCGGAAGTTGGCAAATGGGCAGTTTCTGGCCTCTAGAGGGCCTCTGGGGGGGTGGGGAAGGTCGTTTTCGCCCTCCCCAGACTCATAGAGAGGCTCTGGAGCCAGGTGAGAGAGAAAAACAGGCCTACCAGGCCATCACGTGCCAGGAGTTGGGAGGTAGTGGGGGGGGGGGGCATGGGCGTATGCGAGGGGGCGGGGCACATAGAATTATGGATGTGCGTACATGCACGCACAATCTTTCCGCCCTCCATTTCCTGGCACGCGATGGCAAAAAGGTTAGTCATCACTGCCCTAGACCAAAAAAACCAAACAAACCCTGATTACCTGTAACCTAATCTGTTACAGCAGGTTCTGTTTAATACCTAACCTATTAAATCAGGACAAGAGGTTCTCTTCTGATGTCCTCACCCTCTGAGATCTTGTTATGCATATGGGAAAGACCCTTCCTTAGACAACATCCACGCTGCATCTAGGAATTATTTAGCTCAGTCTCCACTTTTCCCAGTTTTAGAATAGGAGCTAGACCTTCCTATGAGTCAGGCCTCTTAAATTTTAATTAGTTTATAATAACCTTTTTAATATCTTAAATAATTATGCTTTATTGACATATGGACATAATGGCAGAATACTGTATAGCTGGAAATTTTTTTAAACAAATAGCTTAATACACTATTTGTATAGAAACAGATATGCACCTTGCAAAGTACATGATCAAGTTGTATTACATTAACTTAATAAGTAAAACAACAACCAATAGTTTTAATTGATTTTATTGATTTGGATTCAGACCGCACACAGTATTTCCCAGTCTGCCCACAGTATTTCAGTATGCAGTGTGAGCAGCCATATATTGATCTTCCTTTTACTATTTCTCCTTTCTACAGCACCTTTTCTTCTCATACAACCTCTTGTGGTTGTCTCAAGCATCCTCCTCAGACCTATAGGAAAAGCTTTCATGAACCAAAATACCGTAAACTATGGGGAAATAAAAATGGGCAAATCCCATTTTGTGAGCAGAGACTTTGGGTTCAAACTATTTTATGGTTTATATTTATAATATTAATTAAAAACAGATGAACAAATAAATAATAAAAATATAATAATACAAATCCAAATGTGCACTGATTTCCTAAAAAGATATTTGATGTCAAAGGATTCCCATAATGGAAGGGTTTTTGTTAGTTCCTCCTATGCTTCCTGGATGTTTGTTTTTTTTTTCTTAAGGGTTGGGAAGCAAATAGTTAAATATGGAAATGAAAGAATTAGCAAAAATCCATTCCCTTTATCTGAAGTTATTATAACATTTGTCTGTGCTATTATGCTTGACTTCAGGTTATGGGTTCTATTAAGTGTTTTTATCAGACTCACAAGAATCCACTAATCACAGCTAGAAGCCAGTTAGGAGAGGGCACAATGGAGCCAATGGCTTTTTAAAACCCCAAACTTGTCTCCTGTGTTTACAAAATAATAATTCTAAAGCTGAAGCTGGAATTAGAGATATCAGAGTTTCAACCACCCACCCCCCAAATTCTCCAGATGATTAACAGGATCTGCCTAAGACTTTGGTCAAGAACAAGTCATTTTCATGTTTTAGAGATGAGCAGGCTAGCTATGAGCCCTTATACTGTCCTTTCTTAAAAGATGTCTGGGCTGAAGCCTTAGAACTGAAAAGAGTTTAAAGCAAGTTGGAACTTGGTAGGTGACTAATTACTGAATGATGGATGCCTTTTTTCTCCTAGGCCCAATACTATGGAGAAGTGAGCATTGGCACCCCACCACAGAAATTCTATGTGATACTTGACACTGGATCTTCTGATCTTTGGATACCATCAATATATTGCATGAGTGACGCTTGTTGTAAGAAATATTTACATCATTCAAGAACTTAAATAAAATCAACAAAGAAAAGTCCAAATTTTGTCATTATACAGGAAACTAGGGGAAAGAATTGTTAATTTATGACTTCATCTAATGCAAAGTTCTCTCATAGATATGGAACCCCCTTTGAGATATTTTCTCAGCTAATATTTCCCATTTATTTCGGCTAGATACAACTCTTCAAAAATTGTGTCATTTTGGAGTTGTCTCATTTCTTAATGAACATTATTTTGATTTTTCTATTTTTATTGATTTATTGATTTTTCTATCATTTCTTTTAGAATTTGTGGTTTTATTATTCATATTTTTATTTAAACTGTTTTAATGAGAAGAAAAATCTGCATAGAACTAAAATAACGAGGAACGAGGAATAGTAGAATGCTTAAGCTGAAAGAGATCTAACATACCCAATTCCTTCAGCCTAAATCATCAATAATCATGATAGATCTAAACAAAGATGTTCATATCCACAACAGTATTTTGTGTACCTTTGAATCTGAAGCTAATTTTTGTTCAAGTGATTATTCTACCTTAGTGGGGCAATTTCCTATAGCCATAAGTAGTCAAGAATTTTTAGCTGCAGAGTTTCTCATTGATGCTTTCAGTAAAGAAACTAGATTTGAAGTGAGTCGGAAACACTTTTGAATCTTTCTCTTAGTAGGAGAATTCAGTATACTTTCAATAGCTTAAAATTCAGATCCAAATATCAGCTTTGCCGAGCCGCACCACAAGAAGCTAATATTCTTCCCTAACATATACAGAAACTGAATAGACTTCATGGATCCTCCAGTTTTGCCAGTTCAATTTGTCCTTAGCCTCTGACACATAAAGCAGCTGCCTCTGGAATGGGACAATTCGCTGTGGCCAACTTGTTGAGGGACAATTTATCAATTCAATTTAATTCTTTAAAATAAATAATTTTTTGTCATTCACATTTCATTTTGTCCCTCCATTTGCATCCGTTCTTTAATGATTCTATTCCACAATTTCTTTGATATTAATGTAAATCTTGTACTGCAGCAAGTTGTCCTGAGGTGAGTTGGGCAAGGCAAGTTGGCCATGGCAAGTTGGCTGTAGTGAGTTGGCCATGGTAAATTGACCTTGACAAATTGTCATTGACCCGCTGCCTTATTCGCCTGAATCAAAGAGTTGCTCTGCTTTCTGCCAAATAATTTGACCCTGATACTTTAATCTCATGTTTTTCTTTTGCTGAAAAAATACTTTTAAAAGTTAATTCTACTGTCCAGAAGATGTAATGGGTTAAGAGCAAATTCTGTTTTTACAGTAACACACAACAAATTTGAGTCATTTCTGTCACATTCCTATCAACATGGAGGGCAACAATTTTCTCTGCGGTATGGTACTGGGCACCTCATGGGCATTTTTTCCAAAGATGTGGTCCAGGTGAGAGAACTGCTATTATCTTTAAGGGTTTTATGTTTTCTGAGAATGTGTATAGTATTAGAATTAAAAAATAAATTGCTGGAGATAAATGAGACCAATTCTCTTTTAAAAATAATTTAACTAAAATAGGAACCTTCTTGTTAGGGGAGCTAGGAATAATAATATTCTAAGGAAACAATTGAGAGCCAATTTGGTGTAGTGGTTAAGATGTTAGCCTAGAAATCAGGAAACAATTATTTCTAGTCCCATCTTAGGCGTGAGAAACTGGCTTGGTGTTTTTGGACCAGTCATTCTTTCTCAGCCCAATGAGCTCACAGGGTTGTTGTGAGGAAAATATGACAAAAAAGGAATGATGGTATGCTTGTTGCCATAAATTGTAGATGAAAAAGTGGAATAAAAATCTAAATAAAACAACATTTTCCTTGAAATGATTCTTACTATATGCAGCTATAATATCTTTTCATACTGTTTTTCTTTTACGATCAATGAACAGATTAGCAACATTTCCATTGAGGCCCAAGACTTTGGTGAATCTCTCTTGGAGCCAGGCAAAACCTTTGTCTTTGCACATTTTGATGGGGTGTTGGGCTTGGCATACCCTAATTTGTCAGTGGTGGACTCTGTCCCAGTCTTTGACAATATGATGAAGCAGAATTTGGTTGAAGAACCTGTGTTTTCCTTCTTTCTGAATAGGTCAGTATTTGCATGTGAAAAGAAAGGTAAACATTAAAATATACGAATGGAGGAGAAATAGATGCATCAGAGTTATTTAATTCTCATGCCATTGCCTCTTTGGGGGAATGGTCCAGCACTGTGTCAAATGAATAATACATGTACAGAAAGATGATTGATTTATCTAATTCTGCTTTATATATTCTGGGAAACACTATTCATAGCTCTTAGATAAATACAGTTGGAAAGCTTGCTTTGCAGCCAAGGAGGTTTCCTTCTCTCAAAATAAACCACCAAATTAATCATAATATGATTACATGTTAACTTTCAGGCCATCTGTTTGATCAAAGCTCTGTATTTAAAAAAAAGAAAGAAAATCAATTTTTCTATGAACAACTTTTTCTAAAACTAGATTATTACAAGTCCTAGAAGCATATTTCCCTACTTATATATGTATATAGTTTTCCAATTATCTGTATTATAGATATTTCCAAATATATATGCATTGCATAAAACTTTCCCAAATATACACCATTTTATATGCAGTTATGAGCTGAGAACTACTTTGAGGTAGATTTTAATAACTGATAATTCATGCTATAATAGCTTCCTTTTTGGCAGTTATGTCATTTTTCTTGAAAATAAATCCATAACTGATTTCTTTACCATCCTTAATTTATTTCAAATATCTCTTTGAGTCCCAGTTGTGTTCTCATTCAATTTTACAACTACATCTTTTGCTTATCAGCATAATGCATTTCATCTTTTCAGAGATGGCACCAAGGATGGGGGTGAATTGATATTTGGAGGCATAGATCATTCACTCTACCATGGACCCATTTATTGGATTCCTGTCAGTCGGAAAATGTACTGGCAGATTCCTCTTGAAAAGTAAGTTTGCTAAAACAGAAACCTTCACGTAGGCATGCAAAAACAACTTCTGACTCCCGATGAAGCAGATGAACCACAAACAATCCATAAATATTGTGCTTATGTTTGAGTATGAGAAGCAATTTTTTGGGCCTGCACTGTTGGCTGTCAGCCAACAAGATAAGAACTGGATGCCTGCTACCACAGTCCAGTAATATATGAGCTCAGGAAGATTTTTTTTTAAAGAAAAGAGTCCTTTTTACCAATATATTATGATGGCAACTGTAAACATAGTCACAGGCTTGGTATAGATCAAGACCAGGAATTCACTAAACAGCGACAAATCCAAGAGACAAGACAAGAGACAGTGAGGTGGAATCCAGAGCTCTAAAGATGACATAGTCATAGACAGAGTTGAGGCCTGAAAAATTGTTTTCAGCATCTACTACCAGGAAAGAAGGACAATACACTAGCTTATTTTTTGTAAGCCACCCAGAGTCACTGAGCGTGAACAGGCAGCCATGTAAATATTCTAAATAAATGAATGAATAAAATACAGAGCTGCAGCAGCTGAGCACTCAGCATTGGCTCTTCTGTTGTCGTGTTTCCTGCCAAGTGTCTCCAATCTATGGAGTTGTTTCCTCTGTAGCTGAATCTTTATCAACCACTCTACTTAGGACTGGTGGCTGGACCTCACAGTCTGAGGGGCTGGGAATGTAGAGCATATTTAATTTAACTAAATAACTAACTTAGTTAATACATAATATAATTGTACATATAGTATAGTTTTAATATGTCCATTTATAGAAACTTTTTCAAAAGAAGAGACACATAGAAAGCATGATCAAAATGTTTTCTTTATATTTTTGTTTTTCTGTTTTTTTAAAAACCAGAACCATGGTTTTCTATTGCTCCCGCTGTAAATAAAATAAATTAAATATTTGCAAGGTAAAACGTAAAAGTTTCCCTGACAACCATGTCTGACTCTGGGGCATGGTGCTCATCTACATTTTATGGCCGAGGGAGCCAGCATTGTCTAATGACCGTTTCTGTGGACATGTGGCCAGCACGGCTTTATGTCAAAGATGCACGGAATACTGTTACCTTCCCACTTTTAATCTACACACATTTGCATGCTTTCGAACTGCTAGGTGGGCAGATATTTGCATGGGTAAGAGCAGGGGTGTCAAACTCGCATCATCATGTTGTCATCACATGACGTATCACGACTTTTTCCCCCTTTGCTAAAACGGGGGTGGGCATGGTGCATCCAGCCCACGGGTTTGACACCCCTGGGTTAGAGGATAATTGTTTACTGAAGCATAAATCTTACCACAGGATTTTGAAACAGACAAGTATGAGATTGCAGCCTTACTTTCTCTTAACAATACTGAATGCAAAAATCTAAATGATATTAATGTATAGATGTAGTGTTTATGTATGTGTGCGTAATGCAGAGAAAGAGAAAAATTCTGAGGTTGGCTTTTTCAAATACCTATTTACAAAAATTTGTTTTTGTATTCATGTATTCCAATTACTTTCAGTCTGTTTCTTGATTATTGATGTTTACTCTCCTCCCCCATCCCTTTGTGTTTTCCACATCCAATAATGCAGTGTGAAAATCCAGGGACAGATCGTAGCATGTAAAAATGGCTGTGAAGCTATTGTAGATTCCGGAACCTCTCTTATTACTGGTCCATTACTAGATATTAAAAAACTACAAGCAAAAATTGGAGCTGTCCCCAGTTCTTCTGGAGAGGTAAATAAAATTCTGGGTTGGAAAGGATAAAAATTATTGATATCATGGTGACACAAACATATTAAGAGAGAGAAGACCTCTCAAAATAAGAGATATTCTAAAGCATAAATAAAGATTGGTTTTGCAAAATGTAAAATTAAAATGAAGTTTTGTTATAATCCTTTTATCCACTATACCTATATTTAATATATTTGGAAACCAGCATAGAAGCTACTGGAAATGGAAGAGGCTGAAATTTTAAAGAGAGAATTTGGCATTTATTTACTAAGTGTTTATCTACTTTATTTGGAGCAAATGTTCTACAATGGATGCTAATATGGGAGAATGAAAATGGGAAAGGTCCTGTATGGAAGATACTTAGATGAACTGGCCAGCTTTTTTTATTCTAGGTCTGGGCTGCAAACATTTGGATCACCACTTGATGATATTTCTACTGTATGTTCATCTGGATTCTTCAGCCCAGAAACTGGGTGTTCTTCTTTCACGGGGCTGCAAGAGAACCCATAACAATCAAACCAGACTCTCCCTTTTATCCATCATGTCTCTGATCCAATCCACCAATTTGGGGACCTGATTGGCTCAAAAGGCAGCAGACCAATGATGAAAGTGAAGAATGAATTAAAAGGTTAATGAGAAAGAGGCTAGCTGCTGCTTCATGGCACAGTCCTTCCCTGTCATTGTTTGGTCACTTTTAAACATGGCTTTAATCGCTTTTTCAAAAGAGGGCTAAACCCATGTTTTAAATTAGACTGACTGATTAAGAAATGTGAAGGGGGAAATTGCAGGGCAAAGTGTGAGTGAATTTTAAGCAGCCACTCCCCATCGGTCAGCTGTTAGTTTGGCTACTTTTGAACACAGGTTCATGTCCTTCTAAGAAGGCGGTAAACTGGTCTTCAGGAGGAATGAATAAGAGGCTGGAGAGCAAATGAGCATCTGTCAAAAGTAATTCCAGGCTTTGTACAAACTCTATTGGGAGCTACTGTATTTTTTGGAATATAAGACGCACCTTTTTACCCCCCCAAAAGGGGGTGAAAATTTAGGTGCCTCTTATACACCGAATGTAGCCCTGCCCACCCAGTGGCTCCCACCCTTTGGCCTGTGCCTCGCAGCAGTTACCTCCTTGCAAGCAAACAGCAAGAAAAAACAGCCCCTTTCAGCTTCAGCATAGGTTGTTTAGATCGGCCTCCTGACTCTCAGCTGATTTGGTCTCAGCTGTTTTGCGCAGGGCTCTGCAAAGTGCTGGAGCAGATTTTTTCCCCCCTAGCTATACTGAAAAAACAAAACTGAAAGTAAAGCAGGCTCTGCTGCAATGAGGCAGGGAGAGATTTCTTTTTCTTTTTGCTCACTAAAAAAGGTAGGCGCAAACAATGGGAAATTTAGGGCAAAAGAGGAGAGTTAAAGATTTTAAAACACAAAAAGCTCTATTTAACTAGAGAATTGTAATAATTGAGATACTATTAATTGTATATTGTGTTGAAAGCAGAAATGGTTAAGTTGTGGTTTGGAGGAATATATGGGGAAAATTATTTGGTTTATTATTATTGGTAAATATAATTAATTGATTTGTAAGAAATTGGATTGCATGGAAATAATTGGAATATTCATGTTCATATTGATTAATATACAAAAAAGATAGTTATATAACTAATTGATTTATATTAAAATGTTGAATTTGTATTAAACAATTGTAATATTACATAATTAACCAATGTGAGGATGGATATAAAAATAGATGACAATGGGAAGGGGTATAATATAGAATAGAAGGGAAAAATTGAATTTGATTAAGATTAGAGATGAGAATGAAGGGTAATACTGTTTTTTTTAAAAAAAACAGATGAGGAATAAATATGGCAAAAAGGAAATATAGAAATTGTAAATTTAATTGAAATGACTAAACACTTTAAATTTGTGAACCAGCCAAATACTCTGTTTAAAGAAAATACATTGTATGTTTGTACGTGTGTTTGTCTAAAAAATAAAAAAAAAACTTAAAAAAAAAATCAAAAAAAGTAGGTGCGTCTTATATTCCGAAAAATATGGTAATTCTTGACCTTCCAGCATCTATCAGCAAGTCTGAAAAACAAATTGAACGATAAAGAGAAGGAGGTCCTGCTCCACTGCATGTGCTCTTCAGCTCCTTTCAGCTGTTTTTTCTCCTTTTAAAAAACTTTTTTCATGCAGTGAAGCAGGATGTCCCCCTCTTTACTGTTCAACTTGTTTTTCAGACTTGCTGATAGATGCTGGAAGGTCAAGCATTAGCTCCCAACAGTTTGTGCAAAACCTGGATATTTTCCCTCTAGCTGGTGCCATTTGGTAGAGGGGGTGGGAGACAATCCAGAGTTTCTTTTCCTTGTCCTTGTGGTAAATAAGGATACCATCATTTGGGAGGCATTTGTCCTGTGGTAGGATACAAATTGTTACTGATGAAATTTTATACTAGTATAGTTTAATGCCAGCTAAAGAACGGATAGATTGACTTTATGAAAGTCATGGGAAAAACGTTTAATATTTATTTTAAGTGATAATGCAAGAACTGCTGGTTCTAAAAGTTAACATCCTTTTGAAAATACTCAATAATTTTCTTTACTGGAAGTCATAATTATTATTGTTTCTGTTTAATTAAGTTGACCAAATTCATGTGGATTTCTTCTGAAAAGTTTCTAGGACCTTTTATTGCCATCTGTTGTCCTTATATCATTATGAGTTGTGAGATACTGATATAGTTGAAGACTGTAATTGTATTTAGATGCCACTGTGAAGTGTTTTTATGACTAGGATAATTGAATCTAATGTAGTGCATTTGAGTAAGTTTCATGATCAACATTTTAAATATCTTTTACACATTCACCAGCTTTATTGGAGGAAAAGAACTGCTGAAATTATGAATTTCACTGTGTAGCTCCAGAATCGTACTCACTCCCTTCTTCAAACTTCCATTTTGACAACTGATTTTGCACATCATCACCTATATTGATTGTCCCCTTTGACTGGCTTGATAATAATGCTTGTTTCTATTAGTGCTGCGACTGATATACAGCACATATGCAGCTAGTTGGCAGTTGTGCACACCTCCAAGAATGGTGTTTCACAATATATATGTAGGACCTTATTTTGAATCATTAAAACAGTGACATCCTTTTAAAGCTTACATGGCTGTTTTAAAAGAAATTGCTCAACACACAGGCCCACACAGGGCAAACTACCTCTTGTGACAGTTCATCAGTGTCAAAAGTATGTCAATCTTGCAAACAACATGAACATTTTAATGATTCAAGAAATTCCTCTTTCATTACCCACTCTTTCAAATATTTGTATGGCCCTATTTCTTCCTTGGCCCATTCTCTGTTATTTATGGCCAGTTTAACTTTATGCCAACAGCATCTTTAGCTTCTTGTCAAAGAATGTAGGATAGATCTATCCAACCTTGATACTTCCTTGTGCTCATCAGTCTGGATGTTGCCCGCCCACCTGTACCAGAGGGAAAGCAATTTGGGAAATTACATTCTTATGAAAAATATTGCCTCTTTACTAGTTCCAATATCACCTCATGCTGCTTTTAGTAAGCCATTATATCAGTTCTTTGGCTTATACTGTGGAAAGCAGATCTAACATTAGCTGTTTTACTTAATTGTTAAACATGAAACTTCCATAATCAAATGCAATGGATGATTACATGTCAGGAATTATCAGGAACAAGTTAGTGTAAATGGTGACCAAAATTTTAGATCAAGGAATGCTTTGATTTGTGTTACAGTTTCTTGTGGACTGCAGGAGACTTTCCAGTTTGCCCTCGATAAGCTTTACCATTGGGCAGAAGGAATTCACATTAACACCAAAGCAATATATAATTAAGGTATGTATCCAAGCTTTAATAATGGTCACTTAATGATCACTTAATGATTTTTAATATAAATAATGCTGTGCTTCAATGGTTAGATGTTCTAAACATAGATCTTTTTAATATATTTTATTGGAGTCTACTAATCTAGCTGAAATGTTAATATATATTGCTAGTCCATATATGATATGCTATATGCTAAATAAATAAATAATAAATAAATAAACAATGAATACATTTTCTAGCACAACACAATAGGCATAAGTGCAGATTTTCATATGCATGATTTTTGATACAATATTATTTTGGAAGGGTTTAGAAATCAGCTCAAAGAACTTCTTAATATATTATTGTTATCTTCCATATATTTAATTTAATTTAATTTAATTAATAATATTTCTATGCCGCCCAACTCCCAAGAGACTCTAGGCAGCTTACAATAAAAATAATACAAACAATGAATATAAATTAAAAAAAAACATTATAAAAGCATTTAAAAAACATTAAAAACACATGCACACCATCCATGGCCGGATCTCGCAAGATTGAACAGCGAGATCAACAGCCCCAGGCCTGCCGGAAAAGCCAGGTCTTCACCACTTTCCGGAATGCCAATAGGGTGGGGGTAGTCCGGACCTCAGGAGGTAACTGGTTCCAGAGAGCTGGGGCAGCCACAGAGAAGGCCCTCCCCCGTGGGCCCGCCAGCCGGCATTGTTTAGCTGACGGGACCCGGAGGAGACCAACTCTGTAGGATCTTACCGGTCGCTGGGAGCTACGCGGTAGAAGACGGTCTCGAAGATAGCCTGGCCCTGAGCCATGTAGGGCTTTAAAGGTAATAACCAACACCTTGAATTGTGCCCGGAGACCAATAGGGAGCCAGTGCAGCTCGCGGAGAATTGGTGTAATGTGGGTGCATCTAGGTGCACCCACGATAGCTCGTGCAGCTGCATTCTGGACCAACTGTAGTCTCCGAACACTCTTCAAGGGTAGCCCCATGTAGAGCGCAATATCAGGTGGGGGAGGGGATCTCTGGATGTTGGAGAACCGGAGTATTGCGGAGTATCCATATCAGTTCCTGTTGCAGTATGAATATGCTGCTTTAGGACTATTTTGTCCTTCAGTAAATAAATTTTCTTATTTGGTGATGAGGCTCTACACATGATGAACTTAATTTATCTGGAGGTAACCATCCTTGGGTAGGTGATGGTAATATTTGGAGCAAATGGATCCTTTTGTCCTCAGTCTAAAAAGAGGGCTCATGTTCCAGCTGTCTAATCCAATTGCCCCAAGGTTTGGGCAGCAGGATTTCAATTAATCTGCACTATTCATATGTACAGATATTGATAATTAAGTCAAGCTGGCCTTTCATGAAGCCATGCAATAGTTAGGCATTAATTCAGCTCAGGTTCAGCCAGGCACAGGCAAACTGACCAGTAGTTGTAGCCATCTACTGACAGATTCCAGTTCAGGTCGAATAAAAGAGGATAGAAGAGACCAAATGAAGAGACAATAATTAGATCATACTGATCTGATGGTAATCCAAGAGCAAGTATCCACAGTGAGAAGTTGGCTGCAATAGTTTTAATGGGCCTACCCGGTGTACCCCAATTGGCTGCCAGGAGAGGTAGAAAAGAGCAATTGGTGACTCTTCTCCAGATTGCTGAACTAGAATGCCAAGCAGCTTGAGTCAACATGGCCATTGGGAACATCTGGAGAAGCACATGTTGACTACTTTAGTTGATAGAATCAGCTGTGTTTCAGATGTTGCCTGAATAGCATCTTTTCTTCACAAGATAGGCTATCTCTTGGCAACTCATGGTTACATTAACATTTTTGGGGTGTGAGGAACACAGTGGAAGAAGTCTTGCTTCCAATGTGGGTGGTATCAGGATTTTCTGCTTTTCCTGGATTTGGGGCAGTTCTGAGACTATTATTATTATTATTATTATTATTATTATTATTATTATTATTATTATTATTATTATTATTATTATTTTAAAACTCAAGAATATTTCAGGACTTAGTTGGCTAATGTTTCAATGGGAAAATCAGGCCACTGAGTTTGGTAACTGTGGTTAGAGGGAGGCATCAGACTAGAAACTGGGAGCCCATGAGTTCTAGTCCCATTTTAGGCACAGAGCCAGCTGGGTGACCTTGGACCAGTCATGATCTCTCAGCCCTAGGAAACAGAAAATGGCAAATCACTTCTGAAAAACCTTGCAAAGAAGCCTTCTGGAGTTTGTGCAAGTAGTTGTCAGGAGTCAAGTCTAACTTTAAGGCATTAAAAAAAGAGGGGGTGAAATTATAGTACATGGACCAAACACAACCATGAGATTCCAAACCACTCACCCAAGTCTTAAGATTTAGTCTCCCTGAGATTCTAAGCAACACTAACATAGACAGCACTAGAAAACCCATGCACCATTGGATGGCAGGGAAAGTGGCAGGGAGCATTAGAAATCTTCCCATCCCATCCTGATAAGCAGATAAGAGGCTACTGTTGGGTGGGATCAAGGAATTGTGAACGTGGCTGGGAAAGTGTCATAAAGGTTGAAAATGAAAATCACATGACGGCATCACAGCAGCCATCAGCAGAACTTAAACAGCCAAAACGTCCCCAAATTTCATTCTCTTGGGAGTCATGGGTTCTGGATTTTGGACACATTCTGTAGGATAGGCCATTTGAGTTAGTAACATGATTCAAAAACTGTTGCCCAATGATGCACCATTTCACCCAGTTAATGGTAATGACAACAAGAGTTGTCATAGATAGAAACTGGGTTTGATTCAAGGGAGTGCCTGCCAGTTTACAATATTCCACTGATGAATGACTTCTACTTTCAGAGAGGTCTGGTGGTAAGTGCTATTCATCTATTGTATGCTATTTATAATTGCATCTGAATAGTGTGGATGAGAGTTTGCATTCATCTCTAGTTTAGCTTGTTAATTGTATGTAATAAGATTGGGGAAAGAATCACTAGAATGATTTATAGGATTGGGTGAATTTGTCAATATCATGTTCTCATTTTTATGAAAATATCAATTTGGCTTCTTTTTCCTTTCTTTTGTTTCCTTTTTGCATAAAAATGCAACAAAATTTATAGAGGTTTCAGTGGATATTTTTGCAACTTATTTTTTTGGGGGGGGGAATTTTGCCTAGTGTGATAAGATTGAGTTCCAGTCCCACTTTAATCATAAAACTAGCTGGGTGACCTGGGGCAAGTTATTCTCTCTCAGCCCTACATAGCGGCAATAGCAAACCACTTCTAAAAACCTTGCCAAGAAAACTGTAGGAACTAGTCCAGGTAGCCATTAGGATTCAAGACTAATTTAAAGGCAGAACAAAAGATAGACAAGGAAAAAAAGGAAGAAAGGAGTCCATATGCATATTGTGCAAATGTTGAATTAACATGAATAAATTTTCAAAATTGTTGATGAACTGTATTTAAAATAAGAAAAGATTAATTTTGAATATGAATAAGTTTTACTACATATATTGGTTCAAAAATGCAAAATTATAATTTGCATTCTAATAGCCCCAATCCTATAAAGTAATCATACATTAAAGGAAATGCACTATCATCGCTTCTCCTAACTACCCACTCTCTTCTTAATAATTTCATAGCATTTAGTTAAAGGGGCCAGCAAACTTTCTTATCACTATTTCACCTTCTATTTCAGGTCTAGCACATGCTACATAATGGCAGTCTTTGTTTCTCTTTCGCAGGAAACAAGTGGATCTGAGGCCTTGTGTTTCAGTGGTTTCCAATCGCTGGATCTCATCTCTAATGGAGGACCATTGTGGATTCTAGGAGATGTATTTATGTCAGCTTTTTACTCTGTTTTTGATCGTGGACATGATAGAGTTGGCTTTGCTAAATCAGCTCGTAAAGGAAGAAGAAGAAATCAACAGAAATAGTAAAGCAACATAGGTAGAGATAATATTGATAATTTTGCCTTTCACACAATGAACAAGAATTGTTTTTGATATATGGAGAGAGAATGGGGAGAAGAAGGTGTAAAAAGATTTAACTATTGGGAGACCACTTTTACAGCTTGATTCTGATCCTTCTGTGATCATAATGGAGGTGTAGTGACTTTTTCCAACCTATTGACTGTCAGATGTGGCAGGGCTAACAGGATGCCTGACTGGAGATCTATTTATGATTGAAACCCCAATACCTACTGTGTTTCCCTGAAAATAAGACCCCGTTTTATATTTTTTTGAACTCTGAAATAAGCGCTTGGCCTTATTTTTGGGGAGGTCTTATTATTTTGGGGTGCGTGAAGTGAGACAGGGATCCTCTTGCTGTCTTACCTGATTTCCAGCTCTGTCTCCCTAACCCTAACCAGAGGAAATGGCGGGGATCGGTTGTGCATGCATTTAGATATTTTCAGGGAGGGCTTATATTCTGAGGAGGGCTTATTTTTGGGGAAGGTTTATTTTTGGGGAGGTCTTATTTTTTGGGGAGGTCTTATTTTCAGGGAAACATGGTATTAGGTAGCCATATCAGAAATAGCTGAATAAAGTCTTCAAAAGTCATAGAGCTGAGCCATTTGGCTTACATTATTTACATTTACTTGGATCATGATGTATGTTCATTTTTGGGTGCAAAGAATGGTAGTCTTAGCTTTCAATCCTATATACAATATACTTAGATGAGAAAAGACCTCACTGAAACAAACTTTTGTTCTAAGGCCAAAGTTATTGTTATTCTGCTGATTAAATTATTACTACCCAACTGGCAAATGGAAAGTTACTTATCTGCAGTAATTATGTTTCTTATATTACAATTGATGTAAAGCAGAGGTGGGGAACAATGGCTGGCTCAGGAATTCTGGGAATTGAAGTCCACAAGTCATAAAAGGCCCATCATTCCCCACACCCAAGTAAAGGAAAATTGTCTGACAGGTCTGATTTGGCCCATGGAGTTTCTTCACCTGTTTTGCTAGATTCTTTTCCATTTCCCAGCTCATTGCTGACAAAAAAGGCAGATCTTCAGCAGATGGAAGAGGCATTTCTTCACTGTAGACTCAGGCATTGGTATAATTAGTTAGCTGGGTCTGTGACTGGATAAGATTCCATGTCTGCCATGAAGATAGGCAAGATATTTGAGACTGCTACCCAATACATATTTACATGTGAGTTTGTTTCATTAAAATCAGAGACACTTCTTGTTCTTGGTAAAATTAAAATATTTTTGTAGTTAAGAAGGCTTAAAGGTAGAATTGCACATACTGAATTGCTGACATCGATATAAGATTTATTCCTCAGAAACCTACACCCCAAATCAGCCACTTTCATAATTTTTCATAAGACAGATGTGTTCAAGTGATCATTTCTCCTTAATTTCCCCCTTTTGTTCAATCTGTTCTGGACTTTCAGATATACAAATAAAGTTGATCAAGCAAATAACCTTCTGAGTCATTCTGTTTCAAGTTAATTTGACCTTTTTGTTTTCACCTGCCAGAAAACTGAAGTCCTGCTTAGCACTAAATTGTGGATTCTGTTCCAATGGAGGCAGCTGAATTCCAATAATTCTCTTGGGCAGCAGAATGAAACCAGTCCGTTTTTGCTGATGGGCCCTGAAGATAACAGTGAACTTTCCTCTATGCTTTTCTCTCATTAAATGGCCATCTTACACCCCGCCCTTCAATACAAAAAGATAAATTTATTTGAGATGTCATTACAACTTCAGAATATTCTCCTACAAGCAACAATTTTATTGATGTTTTGGCAGCATGCCAAGATTTTAAAAAGTCGTTGCTACATTTACTTCTTTTCAGCCTTTCCATATTAGATAAAGATAAAGGTTCCCCTTGCACATATGTGCTAGTCATTCCCGACTCTAGGAGGCGGTGCTCATCTCTGTTTCAAAGCCGAAGAGCCAGCACTGTCTAAAGAAGTCTCCGTGGTCATGTGGCTGGCATGACTAAATGCCAAAGGTGCACGGAACACTGTTACCTTCCCACCAAAGGTGGTCCATATTTTTCTACTTGCATTTTTTAAGTGCTTTCAAACTGCTAGGTTGGCAGAAGCTGGGGCAAGTAACAGGAGCTCACTCCATTACGCGGCGCTAGGGATTCAAACTGCTGAACTGCCGACCTTTTGCTTGACAAGCTCAGCGTTTTAGCCACTGAGCCACCGCGTCCCTCGCGTCCATATTAAGGACACAGAAATAGAATTCTGAATTTTAATCACAAAGAGTTTTATAAGAAGCAGGATATTCTCCAGGAGCAGCAGGGCAAGGAATGTAAACATGCAAATTGCCTTTCTCTAAGAAAAGGAAGGCCAAAATATTTTTATGTAGGGGAAGAAGAACTTCAAGCAAGAATGAGTATGAATTCTGTACTCTTTGTCTCCCTGTCATCTGGTAATATAGCTTCTATTACAAAGATTCTAGTTCTTAGTCTTATTTGTATATGTCACCAGAAATGACTGTCTATTTCATACCTATCTTGAGGAACGTCATAATTTTTTTATTATGATTTGTTTCTATAATTCAGAGCATTTCAGGCACCCTATTCTGAGCATCTTTACTTACATAGACATCAAAATTCAAGTTGCCATGCCTTTATTTAAGCAACATCAAGCAGGGATGAGTTTTAGATAAATACTCAGAATTTACTGACAAATTAATTAGGCTGTTACAAAGAGAAAGAATGCCAGTTTCTTGAAGTTTGGTTATCCTCCCTCTTTCCTACTCCTTCTAATATTTACTCCACTGTATCTTAATCTTGTTTGATTTGTCTAATGATTTGTATCTTAATCTTTTTAGATACGTATGTCTAAAAATAAAGGTAAGCGCAAACATTTTTAAATTGTTTTTATCAAAATAAAAGCACTGAAAATACACAGTAGGATAAACATTATGCAGGCTGCCAAGCTTTCTTTCTCCAAGGAAAATTAACATTCTGTATGCCAAGAAAAACTATGAGTCCATACCACTCTATTTGTCAAAGGTGATCTTTAGTGGAGTCATTGTTAAACTCAGCTATATGAAGAATATCAGTTTCTTTAGTATCTGGTTGCTCTAATAAGTAACATATGTCAAATGTATTTGGAGAAATAGGACTAGGTGTAGGTGTGCTATCTGGACTTAAGTTGTTTTTTCCAGAGGAAGTTGCCAATTCTTTGGTACTGAGCACTTCATGTTGAGCAAGAACATCTGGAAATCTCCATCTTTGATTATCTGCCATATTGACAGTTGATGTTTGAGATGAGGGTAATTTATTTCCTTTTGGCATACCCAAAGGTAGATCCTGTTGCTTGGATTCCATATGAGGAGGTTCTGTTTCTGAAGGTGTTATCAACAAATCTGCATTACTATTGGGTGATCCACAATGGTTCAGCACAATTCCTTCAGAATCTGTCTCTGACTCACTTTGACTGTCCAAATCTTTTCCTGTCATGACGTGGGAGACTTTGTCTGAATCTACTCTGGTTTCTTGGCTCTCAGTTTTGACAGTTAGTGAGTCTGCTTTGCTAATTCTCTCATCCACTTTGGATTGATTGGAAGTTTCTAGAGCATCATTCTTGCTGCTTTCTCGAATAACTCTAAGATCTATACTTCCATGCATCTTTCCATCCTTATCCGACCAGTTATGAGTTTTCCTGCCATTTAAAGGGAAGTGTCTCCCTCTAGAGTGCATTTCCAGAAAATTATCAATATGATGCATTTCATGTGATGGGAAAAAAATTGAGTTTTCACTGGATTGTCGTTGGTAGGTCCTCCTGCTGGGTGAAGGGGAGACTTCTCGGACACTCAGAAAGCGTTTCACTTTTCGCAGTACCGAATGCTGCCTTCTAGCTTTATCATCATCCCGGAGCCAGTTTTCTCCATGGAAGAACTGACTGTCTGCCAGACTGCAAGAAAAAACATGCAACATTCATTTTATGTATTAAGAGCAAACTGGCTCTCTGAGTGTGCAGACCTAGGCCGCACCAAACCATCCATAAAATGGAAAGTATATTTGCAGGTGTACTTCTTGGGAGAACATTGACCTTTACCATTGACAAAGGAAAAAACTCTATAAGGACAAATGGAACCTTTAGTCCTCAAATAATCTCCACAACAAATCTCTGAAACAGGCCAGGCTGAGAAAGAAAGAATGGTCAAAATCTGCTGTCCTGTCATTTATTCCTACCAGGGTTCACATCACATAATTAAATTAAATTAAATTAAATTAAAAATGCAACTAAAAGCTAAGATCAACCAAAATATAATTCTTAGCTAGATCAAAGAAAACATTTATTCCATCTTCTCTGATGGAAGAAAAGACAATCTTTTATGAGAATGCCCCAAAGTTATCAAAGGTTTTGTGTTTGCGTTTGAGTTTATTTAGATTTATATACCGCCCTACTCCCGAAGGACTCAGGGTGGTGAACAGCCAAGATAAAACAGATACAATATAAAATTTAAAAAACAATTTAAAAACATATTAAATAAATTGGCCCATACTAATTAAAACACCCCTGTTTTTTAAAAAACAAATTAAAATTAAAATTAAACAATTAAAAAGAGTTAGGCCAGTCCCGCTAGTTGGAATAAAAAAGTCTTGAGGGCACGGCGGAAAGTGCGTAAATCCGGGATCCTCCGTATCTCCAGGGGGAGCTCGTTCCAAAGGGCAGGTGCCCCCACAGAGAACGCTCTCCCCCTGGGGGCCGCCAGTTGACACTGTTTGGCCGACGGCACCCTGAGGAGCCCCTCTCTGTGGGAGCATACTGGCCGGTGAGAGGCTACCGGTGGCAGAAGGCAGTCTCGTAAGTACCCAGGTCCTAAGCCATGGAGCGCTCTAAAGGTGGTAACAAATACCTTGAAGGGCACCCGGAAGACCACCGGGAGCCAGTGCAGCTTGCACAGGAGAGGTGTTACATGGGAACACCATGTTGCTCCCACAACCACCCGCGCGGCCGTATTCTGGACCAGTTGGAGCCTCCGGGTGCTCCTCAAGGGGAGCCCCATGTAGAGAGCATTAGAGTAGTCCAGGTGGGAAGTGACGAGGGCATGAGTGACCATGCATAAGGAGTC